CCTTATAATTTTTTTTATTTAATTTATTGTAGCAGTGTAAAATGTTTTCACACAGCTCTCCTCCCCTCCGCAATTCCCCACAAAACTAAAATAATCAGACTTTCCTATTCCATAGATAGGTCTTCTATGAAATGATGATCTTTGGAGGTGAAAACTGTTCAATCACAGTCCTGAACAAATTTTCTATTAAAGCCATTGAAAACTTCTTCAGGTTATCATGAAGAGTGATGTGAAACCTTCTATGCCTTCATAGTTCTCAATGTAAATCCGTTAAAACATCTGCAATCTTGTTTTGTAGTTGTCAGTGACCAACACTTACTATTCTTTAATTATTTTGGATTTTAATGACATGGCATTAATAATTGATTAATATAGGATATATTTAGGCATCTTAAACCTACATTATTTTCTCTCTTAAATAAATATCAAAAAATCTATCTTGAACTTACATTACTCTTTGATTTTTATTCTTTTTAAAGGATAAATGTTAGTTAAGGTACTTCATATGCTTTAGAACAGATGTATTATTTGGTTTCCATAACTTTCGTTTTCACAAAGTTGAACCACTTATCCAGAGAATAAAGAGACAGAGATAATTGTGGAATTTGTCAATTATATTAAAAAAATGACATAAATAGAAATACATGGGATTCAGAGAGCTGAGGAATTGACTCCTCCCCATACACATATGAAAGGGGTTTAGCCTTATGGAGTCTTTGCAGCAATTTTCACTCCCAGTCACTGGGGTAAAAGGATGCTTCCAACCAGGACCCCTTACTTTCAGATAGCCTATGTGTAACCCAGTACGTCACCCATCTGGTATTCAGCATTTGGCATGCATCTGTGCTCCCACTGTTCTCAGCTCACTTTCTGAGCTGGCACTTCTCTCAGCCGCGTAACAATATCTATAAAGCACTTCCATGCCTAATGCTCATGTAATATGAATTGCCTGGAAAAGGTAGATGGGAACAGTGGGGCTGCACAGATGCAGAGATTAGAAATCCAGAGATGAAAATAAATACATTTCTTTCTCTTTAGTTTGTCCCCAAAGAGAAAAATGAGCCAACTGGCTTGAAACCCAAAAAGATTAATTCCCCCAGCAACCTCATTCCATTCTAAGCATTTTTCCTGAATTGTCAGAGTCATTTCCTTCCTCTGCTCCCATCCCAAATGTCTCTTAGTCAAATATGATTTTGCTATTATTACTACTTGTATTACAGGAGGACTAAGTCACAGCTCATGACCTTCAGATAATGCCAATGTCAGTAAAACACTGAGGATCAATGTTAGATTCTGTCTTTTGGGACTGAGTCTACCAAGTCTAGAAATAGAAATAGATAAGCAAAGCATATTTTTTTTGTTTCAGGGCTTCTTCTGGTCACTTCTGAGGGCCAGGCTTTACCTTTTTTTTTTTTCCCCTCCTTGACATACTACTAACCGTATTTATTAATTTGTCTTCTGCACATATTTATTTTCTTCTTTATATAGTTTTACCAGTTGCTGATTTGGGGTCAGAAAGGAATTTTCCCCCAACTCTGGGGACTGCTGAAGGCCTACAAGGGTATTTTAATTCCCTCCTAATGCCAGGGCTGAGAATGACGGCAATGTCATTGACCTTTCCTGCTCTGTCTCTGTGCTGTACTGTAGTTTTCCCAGAGTCTACCTTCAATCTTATAAAGCTCTTCATTTGTGCCATGGCATTAAAATATGGTTTGTGGGGTTTGGAGCATGTCCAGCATGAAACGGATGTTCACGGATACCTCTGAATGAAAATTCAACAGCAAAGCTACATGGAATTCCCAGGCTGGGCTTAACCCAAGGGGCAGCATGCAGCAAGACTTGGCCGACCCTGCAAGAGACGTGTTTGTCTCTAGTGGTGTTTGTGCTTGAGGTATAAAGCCTTCGCCACAAGCCCGTGCCACTGCAGAAAACATGACTGAAGAAATACACAACAGGGCATGGCAGTTTTAAGACTGTGTATGGCATAAGGGCCATATTTGTCCATTCAAGATATTGGAATATCAAGAGGACAAACAGATACATGCATAAAAAATGCAGTGGAGTGTGGGATAGGAATAAACGCTCCTAAACAGGGAACCTGTCAGTCTGAGAATGAACATAATGCACTGTAATTGCAATTAATACAACTATGGAACCCCCCACACCATCAATTTGCCATGGAAACATGAGGATCTTAAAGAAAAACATGCTTTCTAACCCATGTTTGGTGTTGATGTTGCAGCAAAATTGAGCAAATGAGAATTGTTTGAGAAGCAGAAATGAAACTAAAGGGCATAACAGATCATAATATCACTAGCTTAATAAAGATAACGAAAAGGTAAGCACAAAAAAAGAACAACACAATTTTGAGTTTTGATGTGTGGGTCAGTAAAATGCCTTAGAAATGCCTTAGGAACAACCAGAATGTTGTTTCCCAATTAAATCTGTTAGAATGCAAGCAGCATTCACATATATTTAGATTTACTGAACCTGGAAATCATTCTTCTTTGATCTAAATCACAATAAATGTAGTTAGCTGAGATATTTAAAACAATAAAACAGTAAGTTTGTACAAAAAAAAAGGAACTATATCACAGTACTCTCTTAGGAAGAAGAATTTAGTATTTATGGAGGTGAAAGAAATGTAACAAGACAAAAGAGCACAAAGGAGAAATACTGATTATATTTATGGGTATGCACTGAGAGATGCAAAGCGAATGTAGGAAGATGTATTCGCTCTTGACTAAGAGTTACAGAGGAAACCGACGCACTAAAATAGGTATGCACTAAATTCATGGTGCCACTTTTAATATGCAGTCAAGAAAAAGGATAAAAAAAACCATTTCTGACAAGAATCACACTTTAACTCTAATTTATTCTACCCTTAAATCCATAGATTTTTGGGGTGAAAAATTGATCTGAGCATAGTTCTGAGAGAGAATTGACTTACAAGTGACATTGTGGAATTATTTCATTATCTGCTCCTCGATGTAACTAAATATTCACTGGTACTTGTGTGTCTAAATACAGGCAAGATTTTCATTTGGAAGACACATGTCTCCGACCATTCCTTAAATTACATTTTCCTTTCTCTTCTAGAAGGAACAGAGTCAAGGAAACAGCATCTCTTTAGTGAACATGAGAACAAAGGCAATTCTGGGGAACATAGGTTTCAGTTGTGGCAAACAGAAGCTGGTTTCAGATGCAGAATTGAAAAACTAAAGTAAATTTCCTCAACGAAACAGTTACACAGCATAACAATTTTGCAAATCCCATCCTTACAAAAAGATGCCATTTTTTAATATTCTACCTTAGCATGATTTTAACAGGAATAATGATTTAAAAATAATTGCACTGATTCACACTAGCTAAGAATCTGCTCCAGCAAGTCTATGCCCAATCACAAATTTAACATTGTATTGCTCCATTAGGCAGTTAGCTGAATATGTGTTCAGAAAAGAAACAGGAAAGGCAACAAACCAAACAGTCCTTTCTTCCTGCTACAAACCAAACAGTCCTTTCTTCCTGCT